CCACCTCGGCCCCGCTACTGATGATTCAGACGATCGGTCTCTTGTCGTAATCGATTCCATGTCACAAACACGAGATCGAACGCTGTCTCCTGGCACGCGTCTTCACAAAGCAAAGCCAGAGGGCAGGTTTATTAGTCATAACAAGCGACGAAGCATGAGCGTGAGCGACATCAATTTACAAAAAATAAACGTTCCTTCCTCGCCTGCACCCACCCTTCCTCCCAAGGACTCTGCCCCCACCGAGTTCCAGGCTTGGGAGTCTTCTTCCTCCCTTCACGGGATTCTTAGTGATTTGAAGGGTGTTTTGTCTCAACTGGATCCGGACTCTGGTTCATCGCTTGACTTGCGAGACCCTTCTACGCCCGCGAGACGTGCTGCCTATACGCGGTCAAAGACTCAGACTCCTGAGTTCAAGTATCAAGGGGATCTTTCAAAATCTCCGGTATTACCCCCTGTTCCGCCATCTACTCCGATTGTGACGTTGCCCACTCAGTCATCGCTGGGTTCTAATACGGATATGGAATCACCGTCGAGAAGTGGGCTGTCAGTAGAACCTATTATCCCACCACGTACATCTTCCCTTCAAACGCCTTCACGCTCTCGTTCCGGATCTGGAGCGCTTGGTTCGCAGAGAGCAACTGCGCTTCGGCACGGGTCGAGCCCTTTGTCCGGCCCTTTGAGGGGTAAAGGATACGGTAGCCAAATGCAGTCTTCGTACCGTGACATGTCTCGTCTCCGTGTCCAACATCACTCTGTAGCTTCGAGCTCTGAGCCGTCCTTGATCCCCGTGGTTGATGATGTTCGACCACGTGAGTTTTGGTTATTTTTGTGCGCGGGCGATGCTGATGACGTACCATTAGCTTCTTCTCATGCTCATCAGGAGCTGACAACTAATGATCTTATTATTAACCGATATGCGTCCAATCCGTCGTTTACACGGACGGACGATACGGATGAAGAGAGGGGGAAGGATTTAGCTGCGAAGTGCTATACCGAGGATGAAGATTTCTTGGCGAAGGAGAAGATTGCGGAGTGGTTGGGCGGAAAGTGAGTATCTCATTTCTCGTTGCATAACTCTACTGAGAGCGTGCTGCACCAGCGGGCAAGTCAACAAAATAGCGCTCCATCACTACATGAACTACTTTGACTTTACGGGGCTGAGGCTTGATAATGCGTTTAGGTGGGTGATAATCGAAACACCGGTGTATCGTATTGATCGCCCCCTCTAGACGTCTTTGTGCAAAGCTGTATCTCAAGGCTGAAACCCAACAAGTGGACCGCATTCTTGAAGAGCTCAGTCGACGATTCTGGGATTGCAATCCCACCCGTCTGTATGGTAGTGCCAGTGCGTCAACAGTCATGCACTCATCACTTGTGCTAACATACTCTTCAGGCGTCGTCCATGCGGTTGTCTATTCCATTCTGCTCTTAAACACCGACCTCCACATTGCAGATATTGCAAACAGAATGTCGAGGAATCAATTCGTCCGCAACACGATTATGGCCATTCAAACCCAGACTCACCCGAGTCGCTACGGTTCGAGTCCAGATCTGAACGATGACAATACCAGCGGGCCGTTGACAGCATCCGACGGTACCGAGACGCAGTCCCTCGCTCGGTCGAAGAGAAGTGGCAGTATTGCAAGCTGGAACAGTATCTCCAAAGATACATTCTTCGCTGCGACTTCTTCTGCTGTTTCGACAGCGCAGCCCTCGCTGAATAGCAGTACCACATCTTTCCACCATTCCTCTGGTCCAGAATCGAAACCTCCGAGTACTGCTCCTTCGACGGTTGCGTTTGACAGGAACTGGGAGATGGACATGGAAAACCTGCTCAAGGTAGCTACGCTGTGATTTTGCACAAACATTCTGGCTCATGGATTCTATCAGGAAATGTATACTTCAGTCAAGAGCCAGCAGATCTTGCAACCCCTAGGAACCACATTCATGGCTCGTGTTTCAACGTCATCTCTAACTCCAGGGGCACCGCATCTGAGTCGCAATCGCAGCTACCGCGGACCATCGGACCGGCTTACGACACTCAAGCGGGGTAGTATCCGGGGTATTCAGTCGATACTCACGCCAAGCTACAGTCCGTACAGTAGCAACAGCAGTATCGAAGGGCGTGTCAGCCCGTCACCGAGTTATGCAACCTCGACTCGTGAGGTAGGTGTCCGATATATTTGGCTACATGAAGTATTGACAGTCCGTCATAGGGTATGCACAGCTCTATGGGTAATTTCCTCACCCCTTCTCTTGGTTTCGCGTCCAATTTGTCGCATACGATCATCAGGGAAGCGCAGGAGGACGAGGATCGTAGCTACCGCAGTCATGAATCTAGCTCGACGACTATTAGTATCACAGATGAAGAACTTGCGCTTCTCGGGGCGCCATGGGCAAAGGAAGGGATGCTTTGCCGCAAACAGTATTGGGAATCCGCGGGCAAGAGAGCAAAGTCTAAGACCTGGATGGACGTTTTCGTGGTCATTCAAAGAGGGGAGCTGAATATGTTCACATTTGGAGACCACGGTGGAGGGTTTTCTGCTGTAGTTGGTGGTGGTAATTGGCTGGTGTGTATTTTTTTTCGTTTTCTGATCGTCAGTTGACACTCTCTCGTAGGAAAATGCCCAGTCCGTTGGCACAGTGCAGCTGTCTCATTCGCTAGCCCACTCCTTGCCTCCTCCAGGTTACAACAGACAACGTCCTCACTGCATGGTGCTAACCATGGCCAACGGCGGTGTATTCTTTTTCCAAGCCGGTACAGAGGAGCTTGTCAACGAGTGGGTCTCGACTTGCAACTACTGGGCCGCACGTACCAGCAAAGAGCCATTAGCAGGCGGCGTCTCCAACATGGAGTATGGCTGGAATCGTGTCGCTGATGCTTTGAATGGACGTCCTACATCGGACGACCAGAAACCCGAACACGATCGTGCCGATTCGATGAGCGTGCGCAGCGGGCGGAGTACCCGAAGCAAGCTCGGGTGGAAAGAGAGTGCCGCTACTGTCCGCGCTCATTCGCCGTGGTCGGAGAGATTGTTCATTAATGATTGGAAGCCTCCTATCCCACCCTCGATATCCAGCATTCATGACGAGGAAGCCCAGCTCGAGGCACTGCAGAAATATGTGCATATGTTGAAGAAAGATCTTAAGCATCATAATGAACTGAGGGAACCAATGAACGCTCTGGTTTGTCATTTTGATCTCCCCACTCACGCCCAGCTTATTTCTATTTTAGTACACACCGCGTTCAACGAACGGAGCCAAAGCGCAGAGTAATTGGGAGAAGAAGTCGCAATTCCTGCTTACTGAAATCGTGAAGTACGATTCTTACGTTGACTCACTGCAATCCGCCATGAATCTGCGTCTGAAGAAGAGGGGCGAAAAGGCGCTAGAACGCGCTCTGGTTGTTGCGGTACCTGATGATAGTGACCCCGCGACAGCATCTGGTAACTGGAGAGGAGGTTACTCAGAGGAGACGATCCCTGAAGACGATGAGCTACCAGCAAGTAGGATGCCCAGAATGTCTCCATTCCATCGCAGGGAGATGGCAGAGGAAGGGTAGTAAATATGTTAATTTCTGCTAATATACAATCGAACCTTGTTTTGATGTAGCCGTGCTCCCGGGAATATTTATGTATGATATTTTCCTTATGATACTGATGTCTTACGCTAGGATGATTTGAATATAGTGTTTCTTAAACTACTGACATAGACCCAAGTGAAATAAGATAATGCTTCAGTATGGACCGTACTAGCATTCTCGGAAATCTAAGTGTCTAACAGGTAACTAGATTCCCATAGCTTCGCAGCAGACGTAAGGACCTGAAGGCCACTCTTTGACTCCACTATGATTGTCCTTGATCCGCGGCATACCACAGCGATCCGACATCATGTGCAGAATTGGTTGTGTGGCGTACAATACCCAAATGCTGAAAGCCAGGGAAATCAGCTGTATTTGGCAGCGGGGGAAATCTTGGCGTGGTCCAAATGATACGTGTTTAGCTCGGATACCCCATGGAACTTGTCAGCCAAGAACTGCCTTACTCACCGAGGATCCCACCTTGAAAAATTGCTATTGGTAAGAAAATCATCAGGCACGTGTATAAATACTTCGTAAAAAGACCTGTGCACCTGATCGCGGTTGCATGTTGAACCGTTGGAAATCGCCGAGTCACAAGACTCTCTCGGTGTGCCATTGTCAGTCAGTGAGCTGTCATCGCAGGCGTACAATTTTATAGTTGCACCCAAGCTCACTTTAGCCTGATCTAGTAACAAGCTTGTACCGCCTGTTGCAGCACATAGAGCTGCAAGACTCGGAATGGCAAGGGCCTTTCGTACGGGGAATTTGCATCAGTTGACGAGCAACACGGCCATCAAATATTTGACATACCTGGTTATAGGTCCGTGATCTAGCTCGTGCTGTGATTATCAATGGATGCTGTAGTAGTGATGAGACGCACCAACTCTCCATTATTCTGGCATATCCTCAAATCAAAGCCATCATTGAAATAGTTCACTGGGGCAACGCATTCCGGAAGCGATTACCGTAAATGCAGGCTCGCGTTGAGCAAATATGGAATACATACGCCAAGGCTATTCCTGTAACTTTCGTATCAACGTTTTTTTGTTAAGCTAGACATGTAATAATCACCTTGTTTGCATTTTCAAGGTACGTTTCGTTCTTCGTTCGCAGGCGCCCAGCAGCCTGAGTCAGCAAAAATACTTGATTGGTGATGACATTTTTATTATACGTGTGATCAGTAGACTACCACAAGGCTAGAAACAAGATTAGCTACAGGTAGAAAAGATCGTTATTAGCATTACAGTACCTCCACCTCCACAAGTATCATGCCCTTCCCTTGCGACCATGTCATATATTTTGGCCACACTAGACTGCGATCCGATCCCAGGCTTTAAAAAGAAAGGGGAAACCTACAATATATGCACCACTATCTTGACCTCTCGGAGACTTGTGATCGGCAATTTTCCATAGCATTACAATGATCCACTTTGAGGATATCCGACTGGTGCTTGTTACGCGGCAGACGAGTCTCTCAGTTGAGGATTATCGTCACTACCATAAAGGAATTTCGCCCAGTCTGTGTGTAAGGTCAAGATATCGTATGTAGCTGGCACCATACCGCGTCAGTCCACGGCTCATCGCGGTTGTATCGGCTTGGGGAAGCATTGTAATAATGCGGATGCAGTTGGTCTGCGACAAGCGGCGCTTTCAACAGCACTCCGAAGTGTCACCGCATCCATCCATCAGGAAGAGTCTGGAATGTTTGCGACTTGGTTATGTCGATGTTCCACCAAACTTCAAACAAAGATTCGAAATTAACTTGAGTACTAAGTTGGAAAGCCGCCAGGGAATGGCGGGAACACTAAAGCGGATCGGACAAGGGTTAACGCGAACGAGACGACCGTGGATTTCAAGACGCGAGCAATGCCGAACAACCACGTGACTGATATTGGCCGTAATTACTAGGGTGCACGGCCTGTGTGGCCAACTTGTCCTACTTGTCCTAGTATCAGCGGGTCTATTCATGTCTATGGTCAAGGCAGGAAAGGGCGTAGCCCATGTATTACTGGTCCTGTTCTGAACCAAAGAAGTGGTCCCCAACATAGTAGAGCGCTTCTGTGGTGAGGTGTGTTCGGAGTGCACTGGCTCCAAGGATCTGTCGGACTCAGAGGTATGTTAATTATATTGCTTATTGCATTATATCTTTCCAGGAAAGAACTCAACTGCAACGTAGATTGCAGAACCTGACTCCCGAGGTCCTATCCGATGCTGTGATCGCAGTACATGCTAACGTTGAATGGAGGCGCGTGGGTGCTATCGCAGCTGCTTTGCGCGTGGATGCTGTTCAGAAACATTTTATGTTTCTTGACTTACTCGCTAAGAGCGAAGCTGACACACATGTCAATGCTGTTATGGAACCACTCGAAACCGCTATTGGGGCGCTCTCTAGTGATACTACTGATGAGCTGAATGATTGCAGAAATAGCAGTATTGCTGCGTTCAACCTTGATGTGACGCCGTTCGTGGCTGCTGACACGGAATTAGATCATGTCGAAGATCTTTCATCTGCGCACTTTCATCTGCCTCAAAACAATACCACTGCTGAATGATCACGGCAAGCAGTGGCTATCCTGTCAGACTCGGATGGTTCAGACGAAGAAACTCTTGGCAATGACTGAGGTAATTGATTTTCTGCTATGATGTTGCAACTATTGTACTAATCTCGTGTAACAGACACTCAGGGACTGGGGGGAACGTTTCTCCCCAATGAATTCACCACAATCCTGTTGAATTGCGACGCGCGACACCGCGCTCTCATTTGTAGTACTATGTAATATATATCTCGGCTTCCTGCAATCTACGTCGTAAGTGGATAGTGTTGACTGGCATGATGTCGCCCGTCAGTAAGTACTACTCCGCCACTTTGCACTAACACGTATTGCCTCTCGCGGCGAGACCTTCTCTCCTTTGCCGTCGTCTCCGAACCCATTCCATGCCACTCCCGTCATCGCTATCACCTCCTGCTAAATCAGATACACCCACGCTATCTTTCCTTTCTCTAGCACCATCACTGACCTTCCGGGAGTGACCGTCTGAAAGTAGGGCAGGGGTTCCCTTGGCGAGGGCGGAATACTTTGAATCGCTGCTGCAGCTGATGCTGCCCATGCCGCCGTACCCCCATTCCACAAACTCGGGTTCATCGCGCACGTTTGCAAAGAGGTTTGTGAGTGGTCGGCGCTTTGAACCGTAGATGCGTCCGTTGAGCATGTGCATGCCATTTGTGGGGACTTTTGGGCGCGTTGAAGGGGAGGTGGGTGGGAAGGAGCTGGGACTGGGGCTGGGGAAGTGGTTCTGGGGCATTGCGTGGTGGTTACCACCTGAACAAAGGGAGTTGGTGGAGGGGGCGGTGGAGAAATATCTTGGTTTATTGTCATTGGAAGGGATGGGGATGGACGCAGATCGGGAGAGTGGGACACCAAAGTCATACAGTTGAGGATCATGAGCGGTTGAGTCAGTGGAAGACCGCTTGAACAAGTTGAATTGGCGGGAAAGGGATGACTTTGGTTTTGATTTGGAGGATGCATTGCGTTGGACGTCTACGATGTCGGAGGACAGTGAAGAGAGTGCGCGCGAGTGGGAGTCGATGATGGGATTTGAATTGTCAACTTGAGCGGTGGGCTCAGGAAGAGGTGCGAATCTAATGCGACGCATCGGAACACTGGCGTTGTGCATGTGCGAGCAAGAAGAGTTACTTGACACGGCGAGGACAGGTGACTGCGTAGGTGAGCGTAAAACAGCGGTCATAATGTTGCGTGGGGCTCGAGGAAAGTTAACATGAATTGGGAGGTCCGAGTTCAAATAGAGGATACCAAACTAAATAATGAATTGAATCCTCAAGAGGCGGAGCGTGACTCAGTCCCCGGGGTACAATAACCGCTAGCAGGCTCAGCTGCTTAAGATCCGAGTCCAGATTATCTCTTGCCCAAGACTAAAATGATTTGGTTCCGCTATCTAGCACGCCTAGTATGCATGATTTTTGGATCTTCTGATCTAGTACTGTGACAAGCATCGAGGTAACGTTATCGAGCATGTATAAAAGTTCAACTACTGATGCTAGCGATAAAAGTAGTCTGGCCTATAGCTATTAGCCACCGTAACCGGCGGTGTCAACGTGGACAACTTCCTTCTTTTCCCTCCACACGAGAACCGCAAATATTGGAGCACTTCGAAACTCAGCTATTAACACTCCCTCCCAGTATGTACTATTAGGTCCAGCACCGGCTAAAACTAAGATACCCATCTACCCCGCGCTTGTTCGTGGGCAGTGTCGTCATCACTATAATTGTCCACATCTAGAACTTCCTCGAAGGCTCGAACTATTCACCCATGTGCAATGGCACCGCACAAAAGTTCAATATTCCTCTTATAAGCGGTACATGAATGCACATGTCCAGCAAATCCCTCGAGATCCGAGTCTCAAACCTAGAACTTTATCACGCCCATCCGAAGTGTTCGAACCCTTGGTAATGCGTGGATATCGCGCGGTCTCATGACCCAATATTACTTCGTATCTCGTAATGTCCGATTCTTCTCTGTCATATCTAAAACATGATCCCGCATTATAGAGCTAAGATCGCTTTCACGGAACAGTTTACAGCCTAAGTCAAATAGCCTCATTTTTGGAGTCCCAGCCATGTCGGCGCGGGCAACTTTGCATGTTTCACATTCTTGACTCCTGTGCTTGGCGATCCTATTATTGTACCATCAAAAATGGGCGGCTCCTTTCGTTCGTTCCCTAGGGGCATCATGACTTCAAGTGAAACCGTGGACAATTCGAAGTAGACGTTATTTCCTCTCTACACTGCATCACCTCAGTACGCCACCCGCAGCTTAGCTGTCAAGCAAAGTTCAGGCAGTGAGTGCCACATTTAGTCGACATGGTCAATCCGAGTGCTTCTTAGTGCGTACCCATCCATCCGCCTGGTGACGTCGGTTCTCCTAGCGTATCAGCGTCTGGGCCCTAAGCTGGCAGAGTCAGGTGTTGGCCATGCGGAGCGAATTCTCGCCATTTCCATCCGATCCACTTGAGAATGTCGATGCAGCTTGGCGGACATCGTGCGAGTTCCTTATGTCGACGGAATCAATCCATACCGTCCTCATTATCGCTGCACCACTTGAGCCCAGTGGCAACCTTTACGTTACACACATCATGTTCTTGGCCTTGTCAAAGTAAAGTCAGATGGCGTCCAGTTTCTTGTTGGTGCAGTATGTCTAATAAACCTCAGTATGACGATTCGTTCCCACCAACATCCAGAGGTGCAGGTCAGGTGTTTGGAACGCCAGATTCATTGTCGCCTTTTCGAGCGGAGGAGGTTCAACTGCAAGCGTTCCTTAACAGTTGCCACCATCAGAAGTCTTCGGCAGATTAACCCACTTCAGGAACTGCTCGTTGTTGATCTCTTTACCAGCCGCCCTGTCTCGTAACTATACTACTGCCTGTTGTAGTTGTATAAGGCGGGCCGGACGACATGCCTCCCGCGAAAGACTGCCATCAGTCACAAATATTTTGGCGAAAAAAACACACTGCTTCCCATGTCATTTTTGACAGATTTTATTTATTTAGCTATGCAGCACTTAGAGCATGCAAGCTTCATTCTGCATCGGGGAAATTTTTCACCATGGAGGTGCCATACATTCCTGTCAGGTTCCTCGCCCCCCATCAGCCTCATAGCGTTGCTGACCATAACGAGTGTGGGGTTACCGCACAGCTGCATACCCTACGACAACAAAGCCCAACATGCTTGAGAAGTCCCGTTGCATTTCTGACACAAATTCAGCGGTTGTCGCATCAATGTTTCCATGTCGTTGTCAAACCTAGCTCATAAGTTCCACAGCTGGTAATTACTTGACATCCATTCCTGCAAGTCATGCCAGTCAGTATGGTAACAAACAGAGGCCGAGTGTTAAGAAACATCCAGAAAAAAGGAACAAACGAGCCATATTTAAATGTTAAAGTAGCCTAGGACATCGCGGGACGTAACCAATTTGCTCCATTCTTGGGACCGCAAGCATAACAGCGTTCACAACGTCTCAGCTAGTAGTGAACAGTGCACGGGTGAAAGTGGACATGCTAGATTCAAAAAATTAGCAAAGCTCGAGCGGACGTGGCACCATAGACAGACGCACAAAATGGTGATTCAGGGTCACTTCAAGCTGAGAGTCCATTTAATATCACTACGACATGGGTAATCCCATTTCAGCAGTGTCACTGATCTAGATGGTTTAGATGTCGGTGGTGGATATAGTGCTGCAGGTGAGGTTGACAGCCTGACAGCTTGCAGTGGAGACTCGGCTTCGAAGAACAGCCATGAATTATGATAAGCGCCCGCGCTCCCCAGCAAGCGACACCAGTTGTCAACCTCATACATTGATTCGGAGAATGCCAGTCCAAGTCCGCGCCACAATCACGAAGGATGAGTTGTTACTTTTAGATGATTATACTTGGAGTCTTTCACACATGGAGGTCCTGTCCAACCTTGAAAAAAAATACTAGAACGGGTTAGAACTGGTGCATTCCAACACGGCAAGCAGCGATAAACATGTCAAGCCGATAAGTTATTAGCAATGTCAAGGCCAGACAAAAAGCTGGATCCGAGCCTCTGTTTGATATATGGAACGAAGAAACATCATGATAGTTGACTAACTCACATCTTCAGTACCAGTTTTGGTCATTCGGAAAATATCATTAATATTAATGTGTGTGTGACGTTGGTCGAATCCACAAGTTCTCTATACCTTAGATTGGTTCAATGTGGGGAGAGAACAAAATCACGTCCGTCGATAATTTACGTAAATCGACGAATTGCCATGGATCAGCACAGCACCCCACGGTGCGGTTAGCAGAAGCGACTACGTAATTTTGTGTACACACACATACAGTTCGTGATCTACTTGCTCTTGCTAAAAATGATATTCTCGCTCTATTCACGGGTTCTTTGTCGGAAGAAACTTATCTGTGACCAACAACAGACTTAGGCTGATAAGGCTCCTCCAAGTACTTAAGTTCTTCTGCGGTAAGAGTGATATTGATAGCGCCTAAAGAAGAATTATATCAGGATGTCTGCTCTTTGATTGCAACACATACCGAGAAGATCCTGCAGGTTCTTAAGAGACGTTGTCCCAACGATTGGCGCCGAGACGATGTCTTGTGCCATCGACCAAGCAAGAGCTGTTTGCGCCATGCTGGCGCCTTTCTTCTTCGCAACTTCCTCGAGGCTATGGGTATCGCTTCAGAATCTGCTAGATCTAGGGGTGACACTATTCTCACCGGTTCATAATTTCTTTGTCAGATTCATGCTGGACGTATGAGTTGATGGCCCTATACATTATTTTTATGGATTATTCATGGATAGATCCAGATGGTGACAACTAACAGGTCGGTCTTTCCACGAATTGTTTGCTGGCCAAGAGGGCGGGTGAGCAGTCCTCGGGCAAGCGGTGACCAGGGGATGCATCCAACGCCAAACATCTAATACGGTAATCAGGGAGCAAGGAAGAGACAAAGACAAATGAATCAAACCTTGAGTGTGGGGAACATCTCTCGTTCCTCTTCGCGATAGATCAGACTGTGGTGATTCTGCATGGAAATGAAAGGTGTAAGGTGGTTTGCGATTGCGTAATCTAAACGGATCCATGAGGTTAAATTTCGACTCCTTCACACCAAAGTTATGATCTCACTTTGCATTGCTTGGACTGAAGATGCATCGTAAGACCGGAAACATGCACAGAATGGATGTGAAAACGTACATTGGTAAGCCCAGCATGAAGACATCCCGATATACCGAACATAGCCAGCCTGCACGACGTCATGGAGAGCTTGCATCTAAGTATGATGCAGGTCGGTTAATAGATACTGGAAGTGAGGTATGGCGCTGACATACCGTCTCTTCAATAGGCGTCTCTGTGTCAAAGCGATGGCCTGGAAATCAATCAACCTTGAATCTTTAACCGAATACTTGGTCATGACAAACACTGCAGGACATCAACATAATCAAGTTGCAAACGCTCCAGACTCTTCTTGATGGATGCGAAAATGTGCTATTCGTGTGAGATCAGATAATGCAATAATTTGAACAAATCCACAGGTGCCAACACACCTTGCGACTCAAACCCCTTTGATTAACGTAGCCTAATTGATCAGGATGTGTACTTGACCTAAAGACCTTTTCACCCGGGGTGCGGCCAACAACATTATAGACCTAGAGGATTACTTGTCAAGACCTGTCGACAACCAACACATTGCAGGTCTGACCTTTGTCATGACTACAATCTCATCCCGAGGTAAGTTGAGCTTTTTGATCGCGTTTCCAAGTACGACCTCAGAAAGTCCATTGGAGTACATCTAACCACAACAATGAGTGATTCATGTTCAAGGTGAAGAGGTGTTCCATCTTACGTCTGCCGTGTCAAAGGTGTTGATGCCCGCGTCATAACTTCAATATCGATGGTAAAGATACGCTTTGGCAATGAAGTTACGCGACAACAGCACTCACGCAGCTTTGATGTGGATAACGGCTTCTTCCTCTCCAAGAACCCAATCTTGCCACTCGCTGGTACCTAGTATGTTGAAGAATCAGGCGACTTTGGTCATGTGCGCGAGTAAACGCTCTACACACCATACTGCATTGTCCCCAAAATGATTTTGGAAACTTTGAGCCCAGAGTTGCCCAGGCGAACTTCATGGTAGGCGGTCTATTAGCAGCATCAATAGGCGAATGACCGATTACACACCATAAGGCATTCCTTTCTGCGTGGTCGACATAATCGCTATTGGTTAGGTTGAGGGCAGAGACGCTATTCTGAGAGCTCAGAGTTCGCCGCTTTATAAATCATACGTTATCAGCGGCATAACAACGGCAAGTCGTTCACGGGATCTGCAAGATATCCTGGTTTGCCAGGAGAGCAGGAAATAAGGGATTGCTCTTATTTTTATTTGTGATCTGGCTTCAAGTTATTCCATCGGCCCGCGGCCGCCGCAGTGTGCTGGAATCTGCGTACGGCAGCGTACCGCTGGAAACATATGTTGTGTTTCGTTAATAAGTGATCACGCGTGTAACCAACTAAGGGTGAGTAAGATACATTGATGCCACCCTGTTGCTAGTGCAGTATAATTAGCACTCCGACGCTCAGAGTCAGCATCATTCAAAGCCATGAGGCACTTGCTATTCACTACCTTTCAACTTAGACTTTGCCTTTGGTCGCCGTATGGAGCATATTATTGAGCTGTAGCAGTATACCATTATTGAAAGATATTCGATACTACAAAGATACAACAGTCAATGAAATCGAGATTACAATCATCATGAAGCGGCATCAGCTTCGCCGGTTGTCATCGTATCCTTTACAATTTCTGTATCCGTATGATTGGATTTTTCTTGCTTCGGGTCCGCGTCTTCAGGGGATACACTGACCCCAGTAGCGAAAGATTCCGCGAGGGAGCTCACTGTGGTTATGGCCATGTCCAATACTGCTTCAACACGCCTACGAACAGTGTCACTTGGACACGACACCACCTACAATAGGTTAATGGGCAGAGTGATGGAAACGTCAACGTCAATGCGTACCAAGGTTATTAGATTTATGTATGCATCAGCTTCTCCTGAGTCATCCATCCGCACAATCAATGCCGGCTCGCTCTTTTCGCCTTGATCCTGACCTTGGTCTTGTTCGCCACCTACTTCGGGCATGTGCAACTCCACATCATCGAAATGGGCATCCAAGAACCACGCAATCCGCTGGATTCTAGTGATAGACTGATCACTTTCATGATGGTCCGAGTGAGGGTGGTGAGTATGTGAATGTTGCTGCGAGGTTACTAAACAAACTTAACAACATCCGCGACAGATTATGCAATGTATCACTCACATTTCACAGAGGCAGGACTTTTGTCGATGCCCGTAATAAGAGCCAAAACAGAATCAGCAATCATGTCGTTACTTGCAGTTGAGTCCCACTCAAGCGTGAGTTCGTGTTCCGCAGTGTGTTCGACATCGACAGCACCCATAACCTGTCAGGGGTTATCAGTGGGTGAACTTTATCTCCTTTGAATAAGATATTTCTTACCCGAATCACCTTCACATCATCTTTGTCCAAACCCTCCTCGACACTACCATACATTCCTTCCAGATGCCACCGCACAAGATCCCAGCCCACGCCAAGGACTATCTTCTGTCGCTGAGTAACAGTGCAGGTCGATAACCCAGTAAAGTCTTTCAGATCACGCGGATCAAGAAGGGTATAAGAATAATCCTTGGAAACAAGCAGCCCAGATATGACGTCATTTTCTTGAGGAGCCTTATTAGCCAGAGTACCAATCGCCTAGATGCAATTGCGTCAATTAATCCGCGTCATTCAAGATTAAACCCCGAGACCTTCGCTACACGTTCTCCGCGAAAGGACAGCTCGAGAGTTTCAAGGTTACGAGGGGTGTGGATCTTTACGTCCTCATCGCGGTCCTTGAATTTTGCAGTCATGGCTGCTTTGAGACGCCCCATTGCGGTTTGCTCGCCATGAACTAGAACCTTTGGCAACAGGTCTTGAGTAAGGCAACATCAGATTTGTACGTGGTACTTACTACATGTTGAGCCTTCACTAGCTCGATGAATTCGGAATTCTGAGAGTAGTCCACGTGCGCACTAAAGGAAAGATAGTCGACTGAAATTTTCCGCGGGATAGTGTTGCCCTTCAGTCCAATAATCTCATCTGGTTCAGTCATAATGTCCTGATTTGGAAAAAATTCAGAACTTTGCCATTAAGAGACACGCGAATCGCAGTATAATTCGATACATAAGACAACTCACCCGAGCCAGTGTTCCTTCGATAGAGTATCCAGTGATAATGAGCCCATTTCGAGAGTCAGGCGCCCAGAGTTCAAGTAATTCACGGCTGGGTCCAGTTTGAAGAAAACCTGGACTTGCCAACACGACGCATGGCGGGCCATCCGCTATTTTCCGTTCCCAACCGCGTGGCTGTGGAAGATTAGATATGTGCCTAGAACAGGGATGATCAGGATAATCTCCGAGGGCGTGATAACGTTCCACGCACTTGAATACAAATGGATTGTCCCGCTTTGCGAACCTCGAGCGAATGTTCGAGTTCATTGTATGTATGTACGTCTGATATACAGCCATGCATTTGCGTGCCAGATTAGAAGCATAATAAATGGGCACATTGTGCAGGTCCGGATGCTTCTTCCAATATTCATCGAGGATAAGAAGAAGTTCCTGGGCTCGTCCGAGAGCAAAAGTAGGTAGAAGGACATGTCCTCCACGCCTAATAATTGAGTGAACGAGACTCGTAAAACGCAACTCCTTCTCATCGCGACCTTCTAAGCTCTGAACGCCGTATGTACTTTCGACGATGAGGACATCCGGCCGAACTGGGGGAACTTCTGCCTTGACAAGATGTCGGTCTTCTTCGCGAGAATAGTCCCCTGTGTACAGAATCTTGAGGCCGGCTATATCAATAAGAAACATACATGCGCCCAATACATGGCCTGCATGATAAGGAATGAACGAAACTCCAGGACAAGGTGTAATCAATTGATGGGCAGACACCGGGATAATTGACGACAGCGACATGTTCATTTCAAGAGGAGTGAATAGAGCATCGGAGGTCGACGAACTGTCGTTGTTTATTAGGCCAGTTATTTTTGCACCAAGGCCGAACCTACCTCGTTCGAACAAAATCCTGCATCATGAATTTATGCACAGCTTTTGTAGGATGCGTCATGTACACCTTACCCTTACCATCCCTGAAGTTGGTCTATCATAACCGGTCAAGCCTGAGTCGGTCAGAGATTAAATATAGCTTGCCTTTTCCATGATATATGTCAGGGCAGCAGCATGATCAAGGTGAAAGCTGAAGATCAAATTAAGTTGCCAAAATAATTTAGCGGATATATCGCGTACTGAGTGATCAAAATCGCATCTACCGTGCTCCAATCAAGTTCATCCACAAATGGGAGTGAAGCCATGCCGCTGTACGCAGGGTGCACTCCTGTGTCACAGACAATGGTTTTTCCCCTGTACTGCAGTACGCAGCAGGATCTTCCCACCTCTTGACCTGCACCAAGGAGCGTAACACTCAGCGTTGGTGAGTCTGCCATAACTTTGCTCGCCCTTTAACGTCTGCGTCCAATTTGGTGATATGGCAATCTAAAACAGTCTCAAGGTTCACGGTATAGCCAGACTTAAGATCACAGAGAAAGCAGAAGAAATGATGAATTTCTCAACCTAGTAGCCACGGTAGTTTGGCTCGAGCTGGGTTAGAAAATTACAAAGAATCATACTGACGTAAGCGACGACGACTTTGTTCGAGGACGTCGAAGGCTAGCTGCGTGCATGGCCATGGGCAAGACTAGCAAAACTCAAAATAAACGCGCAGTCCTTGGTTCCCAGGAAATCCGCAGGAGCGCAGCCAAATCTTCTTCAAAGAAGAAGCAAAAGCAGCGCTCTAGGGAACAAATCGATCAAGCTAGACATGCTCTTGATTCGAATGCTCAAAAACTGTACGAGGTGCGTTCACATCTAATCAACGTCCCTTGATCGTTGTTCCTTTTTTTTATCATTGAAGTCATATGGTCCTGGATCAAAGCTGGCTTCCATGTGATGCTTACAAACTTATTTTCCAGGCCATCGGGGGATCTACAACCTTGCACTCCAATCGGCCTCAAGATGAACTTGAAATAGATCATGTAAAGGCTCTCACCGAGACCATCATGAGTCTTTGATTCATATCGCGTGCGAGAATTCTTACTCATGGTCCACATGTTCATTGAATGTCTGTATTGTAGGACGTCATATCCCGCAGCCTTTGCACCGTACTGCACATGGACAAGTCATGCGTGTTCATACACGCTTCTCTTTGTATGCATGTCCTCTTTCGGAGACGAACTCGAAATGATGGCTGACAAGGTAAAGCTCCCAACCATTTATCATTTCTGGTGCCTGACTGTCATTGACTTTGGTTGCCTGCTTATATCAGGCGCGATGAGGAGTCGTCAGGAAGACAAACTACCTGAGGGTTGTGTAGCCCTACACGTATACCGAGTTGCTTTTGATGGTCCGCAAAGTATCCGATTGAGATGATCTAAACGTTCGGTACTACAAATTTTACGACTGAAGTCAAAGTTGCGACAAGCATCGAAGCAACTTGAATATGGAAAAGCAGGTCCTTGCTGTACCTATCCTATGATACTGTACATACATCAGATCCAGCACGAAGTAGCGCAACCATAACCAACCAAACAATGAGTCCAGTCATATAATCTAATCTAAGCAACTAAACTAAATCCTCCCAATTCGCTTTAGGCGAGCTAATCGACAACTTCCCCTGTTGTTTTCGCTGCCTCAAATTCTTCACCTCCGTATTGATTAAATCTCGGAGACGCTCCAGGTCAAGACTGCGTTCTGCGCGAGAGCCCATGAGCACGTTTCGCCAGATACCAGCTGCGGCGACGGAGTTGTCGATGTTGAGCTGCATAGGACGGTGCAGGCGAACCATCTTTTGCATGAGGTGGTCTGGGTTTGCGTAAATGGCACCGGGCCATGCTACTCGGATGGCAAACCACCAACCAAGAGGCTGTGAGAGAACTCAGTATTTGCTGAGCATATGAAATATCAGGGTTCCTCACCCGTCCATCGGGAAGCGTCCGTTCAGGATACGAGTCGTATGTCGTAAGTGAGCCATCAGGAAGCGAGAATCTAAGAAACAATTATTAAATAGTGCAAAGTAAAATCAATCAACCAACCTGTGGACGACCCAATGACCTGCATCTGATCGATGTTTCGCAAGTACAACGATCAATCGTGGAGCATCCTCGAAACCAAAAGGCGCCCATAGATCCCTCAGCATTCCACACGCATCGCCATGCCGGCCATTGAATACAGCAGTGCTGATCGCATCTGCCATGTTTGGAGGGACGAAAAGCCTGTCCACGCGCCCGCCCGGGATATCCGTCATGCGGCTTCTCACGTATCGCTTGTACGTCTGCGTCGACCATATGCTCAGCGCGACCTCATCCACCTGCTGCCCTCGAGTTGTGCTACCCAGCGCTGCATCGATCTCGCTCATTGGCCATATGATAGCCCAACTGAGGAGGCGTTGATGGATGCGCTGCCACGGCGGGGGACTGGACTCGCCGTAGTCATGACCAGGATTGCGAATTTGTGTGTTCTGAGAAGGCACCATCTCGCGTCGACTGACTTCTTGTCCGGGGACTGGCGGCAGAGGCGGAGAGGGCTGACGGCGTTCGGTATAGTTGCCCGAGTCGGGAATTTCAGGTAGGCCAGATTCAGTGAACGCTCCATGACCCTCCTCGAACTCGTCCTGGTCGTCTCTCGCGACTTCCCAAGTCTTGTGCGTAATGGCCGACTGGCTTCCTCCAGGCTTGACACGTAACTTGTACAGCTCCTCCTCCAGGAATTGCTGGCCTGGAGAGTCGTCTCGATCGCCACTCAAAAACTCACTCATGCCTCCCCGTGTCTCAGTGATCGTACCAGCGCCAAATCGTTGCTCAAGTTCAGTGTGATCGCCATAAAGTTCATCATCCTCTTCAACTACAATTCATCAGGATATTCATCTCGACCGCGTAAAAACACACACCGATGATAGCAGTTTCATTTTGGTACACTGATTCTGGAATCGTGCCAGTGGGCTGCGTGTTGATATTCACAGTTTGAGTGCGCGGGGTTTGGCCGTACTGATCCATGTTTTCTGAATATTCTGTCTCTCCTCGGTATTGCTCTCGAGAAATAGCAGACTCTGCATATGACTGTTGGCTGCGAGGTGGCATGGGCGCATTCAATGACTGAGGGCTGAGGGTTTCAAGACGCTCTTGGACTTTTATCATTCCGTTCATAAGCTCTTTGGCCCATTCAGGTGGCTCTTGCTATTCCGGAGTTGATGTCAGATTCAAACGTTACAACAATTGGAGTAACTTACTGTGTCTGGCTGGAAGCCCGCATCCAGATGGACGCTAGGATCATGATCATGGAATGACTTCCTGTACTGTCGCATGGACTGCGAGGATGTAAGATACATTCAACATGAAGAATAAGCAGTTGAGCGCACATCTTGGTCAAATTTCATCCCCAGTTTCTTGACGCGCTGCCTCAATGCTTTTCGGAGCGCCTTCTTCACCACTTCATGGGTGGTGTTATCGTCCATTTGATGAAGTAAGATGCAAAGGTCCATATCGTGGAAGTGAGAGTCGACGATTTCTGGTTCAAGAGTACTAGGGGCATACGAAGTGCGATTACCAGCGCCACGTTCGGCCAGTGCCTTTGCTACCAGCTCCTCCTCCGCCTGGTTCAAAGAGAACGACGGAGAATGCGGACGAGAGGGTGTGGGCGTCGCTCTGTCATCTTCTTCCACGCGTGCCGGCGAGCGCGCGCGCGACTGGGATTGATGAGTGTGATGTGAATGATGCGAGACATGGGACTGATGCGAGACATGGGACTGGTGAGTGTGGTGCGAATGGTGCGACACATGAGATAGTTTACTGCCGCCTCCCCCGCCGTTCAGCTGAGATGTGTCCACGTTCAACTGAGACAATGCGTTGGATTGTGAAGACGTCTGCCTCTGGACTTGCATTGTTGCGGTAAATAGTAAGGGTTCTTGTGTGGCGGCATGACGATAAGGGGAGAATGGACGGTTATGATGTGAAGGAGACATTGGGCTGCCAGCAGCGCTCAGTGGACCTCCACGTTTCGACGCAGCTCCATCGACATCGCTCATGAGGCCTGCACTCGCAACTGAGCGCATCTTCTCCTTTTCCTTTAATTCCCTCTCTGCCGCAATCTTAGCAGCCTTGAATGGAGCTTGACTGGGAGAGTCAGATGGCGACACGCTTGGTGCACGGTGGTGTGATCGTGGGGAGAGAGGAAGCTGGCTGGTCCGGCCTGACGGACTTAGCAGTGTGCTGGGAGGTAAAGGAGGGTATTCAGTAGGGACTTGTGATCTTGATCCGGCTCGTGATCGGCGAGGGGATAAGGGAACTTCATCGGGTGCTGCGCTGCGTGTTGTGTGTGCCTTGCTTGGAGTATTGTGGTGCTATAATATTTCCATCAATCACTTGGACGACTGATGACACTAAAAGACATACGTTTCTGATGGTATCCCGCGAATCGCTTTCGACTACGGAAGTAGTTGACTTGCGTGATTTTGTAGGGGCACCACTGGCTTGAGAGGCCGACTTGCGTGACTTTGAACCGCTAGGTGTAGACGGAGGTTCGATATTGATGTTGAAAGTGGTCGGGGAGGTGACAGAATTTGGAAGAGGCACTCTTGTGGCACCGGCCACTGTAGAATGCTGAATGAAATGAGTACAAGGATGGAACTGGAGCTATGATTATGTGAGCCCGATGGCGACGTACCTCCCAAGCATTCCAGGGAGGTGCTCCGCTACTGGGCCCAAAGTCAGGCAAAGGGCCTTTGTTGCCAAACGAAGGACCAGAATCAAACGACTCATAACGCGGACCTGGGGGATCCTGAGGACCAGGTTCGTGCTGGCAGTACGTCGTTTAAGACCATGGGAAAGCAGGACAGAAATCCAAAAATTTAAATGTGATTCGATACTCACCATTACAGAATGAACATTGATGGACATTTCGGTCTTTCGACCATCCTGGACGTTTGAGTCTAGATCAGAGGCGCCATCATCGTTACCAAAGGCGCTGCGCCTTGTAGACGGAAGGCCATTACGAATAAGAGTAGAAGTAGGCGATCCGAGACCCATAGACTCTCTTTGCATACCCTCCAGATATAGCAGTACTGCGAAATATGACACTATTGAGTTCGATGCTCGTTGATATTGATGTGAAGGCTTACCTTTCTCATTGGGAGCTGCGGAAAAGGAATCACACGGAATCAACTTGTGAGCTGTAGAAATACATAAAAAATGTAGAAATACACATACCTGGTGTACTTGAGCGTAGAAGGATCGGCCTAAGAGAATCGGAACCAACTTCGGCGAAAGACATAGTGGAAATATTCGGAAGGGTTGATATAAAGATATGAGAAAATGATGAAAAATTCGGGAGAAAAGGGTGTCGCTGATGGTCGAGTAGAGGTCTTTAGTGAGTTGTTAGAATGTTTAACGGAGCAGAAGAAAGCAGTTATTCAAAAGATACAACAAAATACAAAATGAACCGTGGCGTCAACTTCTATAATACATCGAATCGAATCAATATCATAGCCTAATCAGCTCACAAATATGTACAAATTCATATCTGCCACAATAACTATATGACAATAATCACTTCTCGACAATTGTTAACAGTTACTTCTCAAGTTGCCACTGTAAGAGTCAAAGCAAAGGTTAGTCTACCTGCGGGGACAATAAAAATCATACAGGTACTCAACGACTGATGAAAATACCGACTGATTACTTTGCCACTCTACTAGGCCTTGACGTGGCGAGGGCTCATTTAACTGTGCTGCTCACACTGGATTGTCTATTGCCCGCCACCACGCGGCTGTTCTAATACATCCCGTCTTTAACAGGTCTGTCACTGCATTTATCATTGCCCTCCACTGGACTCAACATGTCTTCACCGAGTTAGTCGATCGTGCGTGGCGGCCTTAGCTGCATCCTGTAAGCCCATCTATCACCCAGTCTACTATTGGAATTCACCACAGGCTTATGGTGGCGCATTCAGCCTTTATAAAGGCATCACACCGAGTGCTCCTATCTCAGTCACGTACCGGAGCTCCTGTTTTTCATCACACCCAATCCTGTCTTTGCGCTTTCAATCTCATGCATCAAGCTCTACGCCTTACCGAAATTATAGACCAGATCAGCTGGCACACTGATCGTGACTCACTTCCCCACCTTGCCTTGACGTGTCGCACATTTGAAGGTCCAGCACTTGACGCCCTATGGAGGAATTTGCCATCCCTAGAACCATTGATCAACTGTATACCAACGCATCTCTGGGGGCACAGTTTCCAAGGGGAACTGGTAAGCATTTCATATTCGCGCGAATGTTCACTTAGTAATTTGTACAGATACTACTCAGGCCCATCGATACCACGACCTGGGCCACTTTTCGTGAATACGCATTCCGCGTGCACTCCATCACACAATCTGAAGATCCATCGCCCATTATTGATTATCTTCGCATACTAATGTTGTCTTACCCTTACCCATCCTCGACCATGTTTCCAAATCTCCGAAGTTTGG